CCAACCCCCACACAAACCTTCTTTCTGGGTCATACCTATGATAACCAAGGCTCTTGGGTCTTCAGGACCAGCAAAGCCAAAGTTGGACTCATGAATAGCCAGGCATCATGTTCCCTGTGCTCCATGCTTAAATCCCCACAGTAAGCACTGTCTCATTTAATCTTCACAAAAATCAGTGAGGTGTCATTATTTCAGTCTTACAGGCTAGTCAACTAAAGCCTCATTACACTGCCTTACTCACCCCCCCAGTTACAGCTAGAAAGTACTCTGGCCAGGATTTACATCTGCTTTAGTACCAGAGCAACTTATTGCTTCATTGCTCCTTCAGCACAGTCCTGACCTTGGGAAAGGGAACCCAGTGGTTTGACTGAATACCCAGGAGGTAATTGACTCCTACCTCTTCTACTAGGAGAGAAGGCACTATAATCCTGGAGCTGTTGAACATTTCTGAATCCCTTAACCACATATTAAGCTGTGAGAACTAAGGTGTGTAATCTTACTCCCACTCACGTAGAATAAGTAATAATGCCTCCCTAAGAAGAGTTGTGAAAATTAAGGATTAGAACAGATAATGTTTAAGAAAGTACTAGGTATAGTCTGTAAAAAAACTATATAACTAATTGGTTTCAATACAGTAAATTACTCATGCTTTTTTTAATCCAAATATTAATGATGACATTGTTTACACTATTTTAGTATAAGTATCCTCCAATATTTTAATTAAATGGGTAATAAAGAGATAAATAATTAAAATATTTTGTTGGATTTCTATAATCTGACCTCTTACCAAAAAAAGTGGAAGTTGGCTTATAATTTATAATTCATGTGTATTATTGTGCCAATCCTTTCACCTACACAAAACAAAAAACAAAAACAAAACATGGCTGTTTTCTTAACAAACATTACAGAACACATACTATGTGCCAGAGCCTGTTCAGAATGCACTCCATTCTCCATCATCTCATTTAATTATCAAGAAGTAGGTAACTTTATTATCTCCATTTTATAGATGAGGAAGTTAAAACTCAAAGCATCTAAATAATGTAACTGAGGTCGCAAAACTGTTAAGTAAAAAAGGCAAGTTTTTAGACATGTACGTGGCATATTTGATATGATGTTACACCATTGTCAAAACAAAATTTTTAAAAACTCCTGAGTGGCCTGTAATCAAGGTATTCAGTATAATAGCACATAGGGATCATGTTAAAAGCTAACTAGTAAATACATGTGTGAGAAAGGATAGGACTGAGGCAGAAAATCATAGGGAAATTTAAGCTAAAGAAATCTTCTGTAATTGACCATATATTGTATTGCTGTACTTTCTCACATAGAGAGACTTGTAGGCTTACCAACTAATTCATTATCCAGCAAATAACTGAGCACTTACTTTCTGCAAGGACAAGTGTTCAAGTCTAGAGAATATAGGATACATAGTCATAGAACCTCTTTAATGGACCTCCCAAACTCCTGGATAAATTGTCAGATATATACACATAAATTTAGTGTATGCATACTAAAGTAAAAATTGTCAGATATATACACTTAAATTTAGTGTGTGTATATACTACTTAAGTAAATTGCCTCGGGGGTGTGCTCAAAAACTGGTTCTCAATCATATTGCCTTTTCATACAACTGTTTAAGGAAAGGAATAAGAAAGAATGTCTAACTTTCAAAAATATGAGAATAGGTTTTGGAGAAGAGGTGAGTTCCTTAAATTGGTCAAGACATTAGGACATAAGATACTTTTATATTTAGTGGAACTTTGAGCTCTTTGCAAAAAGACTTTTTTAAATCCACTGTTCTGAAAGCTAAATAAAAGCGAACTGGGCTTCTGATTCCCCAGGGTTCATATTAGAGCCCAACTCTTCCATGGAGGACAAGTGGAAGGAGAGACTGGATTTCCAATATAAATAACCTCAGAGTTCAGTCAATAATAATTCCTTTTGAAGCCCTTTAAGAAACCTTTGATGAGAGCAGAGGAAAAGTACCCACTAGGCCAAGCTAGGAGAACAGGGAAATATCCATAGCTGATTTCATCTTGCAGAGCATTTATTACTGCAAGTAACAGCAAAAGAAAATGGCCAGTGAGGGCAAAAGTAACCCCTGACTTGAGGGCCCTGCCTTCAAATTTTCTCTTCTCCACTACTCAGGCAGTGTGGCCTTTGCTTTCCTCTTGCAATATCTTCACATCTCCAAGAAAACAGAAGGACTTGGGATTAGAAGCCATGACATTCACACCCTATTCCATCCAAGTAACAATCCTTGTCACTGGCAGGTTACCTTATGTCCGTGTGAGGTCCTCATCCTCTATGTGGCCTACGTTACAGGACTACTCAGATGATAGGATGGATGTTAAAGTATATTGGGACATAATCAAATTTCCCAGACCTGAAGGGAAAAATAACTTAAAGCTTAAAAGGTTTGAATACAGATGCCCATACCCACCCACAGTTGAAAACAAAAATGAATCCAGTGAACGATGCACATAAATCCACAAAGACATAGCTGGTCTGCACAGAATGGAGCCCAAACTTCTTCACCACTTCTCAAGGTCCTCCTCAAGATATTTCCAACCCTTTTCTCTAGGATTGTCTCTATGCTCTTTATGTCTTTTGTAATCGTGATAAATTAATTGCCCAGTGACTCAAGAGCCCAGAATATGGGCTTGTTCTTTAACAGCTGCCTTTTTTTTGTTGGGCTATTTCTACCACCTACAAAGCTGTTCCTCTACATGTCTGTATGTCCAAACTTGCTCAAATGCAGGCTCCTCCAGGAATAAAGCCTTCTCTGGTTTTCCTGTTTTAAGTCATCTCTACTTAATCTGAGCACTCCTAGCATTTTTATTTGTACATCATACTTTAATAATTTATATTCTCATGAGTTTATTGGTTCCTTCAGAAGAATGATTAAGTCTGATTCTTCTTTGTTTCACTTAACAAGGAAATAATAAAGTTAATTGCTGATATTTATTGAGCACTGAACACATATGATCTTGTTTGATCCTCATAATTAAGAATACTAATACCAACATTTTTATCATTTTGCAAATGAAGAAAACAGGGGCCCAGAGAAGTTAAGTAAGTTGTCTAAGTTACACAGCTATTAGGTGGTGAAGTCAATTTGGAAACCAGAGGTTTACAGTCTAAATCCATGGTTTTTAACATCCACGCCTCCACTTACTGTATGCTCTTAGCATATGAAGCACTCAATAAATACTTACTAAGTCAGTGAATAAACAACTTCATGAATGAAGAAAGTGTGTCTTCAAACATAAATATTTCAATTTTATGCACAGAACTTCACGTTTCCTTTCAGGTAGTAGACTACTGAATGAATATTTGTTGTTAATGACTGGAGGAATCAGTACCAGAACAGATGTCTCAGGGACTGCTGGGTCTAGAAAGCTCTCAAAGAGGAGTCATTCACTCATCCTTTCAACATTTACTCATCATTCATTCACTTATTCCTTCAACATTTATTAGAAGGCTGTTAGGTACTGAACAGATGGTATAGAAATAAAGAATAAATCAGACATGAGTCCTGGTCTTTGGGAGCTTACATTTTGGTAAGAGGAAAGTTGACTGGTGTTTTTAGGTCTAAGAAAGAGCACACATTGATAGAGTGAAGACAGCTCAAGCTCAGGGAATGGCCAATAAAACGTTCAGAGGTGAGCCGTAAGTTTAGCCTGGTGCCAAACATAAAGAAGCCTTTCCTTAAAGAGGAAATTAACTCAGCAAGAGTAACTGGATGACTCACCCATCAAAATAGGAAGCTCTGTCTGGTAAGGAAGATGGTGGCATTGAGGTGGCAGAAACCACGAGGATCCTGCAAACACTTACCACAGTAGAGAGATTTCACCCTTGCTGTTGGGTTACTGTCTGTGGAGTGAAGCACTCGTTCACTGGTCAGGGCTCAATAGAGGCAGTGCAGCATTGTGGTGGGAGATCCCAGGCTCTTGGAGTCACTGCCTCATTCTTACCAAAGCCGCTCTCACATAGCAGCTCTGCAAACTCAGGCAGATATTAAAGTGGTAAAAATAGCAATTCTTCTTTACTGAGCAGTGGAGACCAAAGAGTTAATACCTGTAAATGCATAGAACAATACCTGGCTTATATGAAGTACTCACTAAAGGTTAGCTATTTTTATTGTGCTTCTATCATTGACTCTAATTGTATATTTGAACTGAAAAAATCCCCAGTGAATTTTAGAAGGAAGAATGTTTTTATTTCACTTGGAGAAGAAATAGGAATATAAATCGTACATTTTGCATCCTATAACAATTTCACTCATGAGATGACAATTCTCTCATCAGCTTGGGGACAGACTTCTCTAAAATGCCATGTAATTGTCCTCAGCAGCAGAACTCCAAGTGGCTCATGATGTTCTATGTTTGTGGACTTTCATCCAACACTTTAAGAGCAGCAATATAATGTTTCTGCTAAAATCACATAGTCACATTTTCTTTCACTTTACCAGACCATTGCATCTAAAAAAAATTGATCATTTATTACTGTAACATAGAATGTAAATATTTCTTTATTAAGGTAAGTACTGATTTAATACATGTATTTCTTCTCTGTATATTTATTTAAAATATATACATTAGAGAAAAATTATTTATGCAAGAATTTATAACCAGATGCTGGACCTACCTCTACTACAAAAAAGTTCTTATTTTAAATTTTGCAGATAGCTTTTAACATAAACATGTTTTAGTACAAACAATGGTTTAAAAAATTATGACTAATAAATAAATATTCTCACAATGTTATTTCTATTTATGTTTACATATCAAATATTGCAAGCTACCACTAGATGAAAGGGTTTTTGTCTTGTTTTCCATAAGATGCATCAAATATGAAGAACACACTGATAAATGAGGGAGATACTTCCCAAATTGACTGATAACTAAGTTGAGTAGTCAAGGAATTTTAAAAAATCTCAGTTTATTCCACTTCCGCATCAGTCATATAAAATGTTTAGAGCTTGATGAGTGGGCCATGGAGTGAGTTTGAAATCATCTAGAGATGGTGGCTATGATGAAAATAGCACATGCTTTGGAGCCAGAAGACTGAGTTCCAAATCTTGACTCTTCCATACTGGCCATGTGTCTTCTGAGCCTCACTTTATTCACCTGAAAAACAATCATAATAACACTAACCTCAAAGAGTCATTGGAAAGGATTAGAGTTAATAAGGTATGTGAAGTGCCTGGAACATAGTAGATGCTCAATAATTTTCAGTCCTTATGATGGGGATCATGTTGATATATTTGCATGCAGATACAATTAGATGGCATTTGTTGTGTAATTATCTGTTACATATTCACATTTTAAAAGATACGTTAGCAATCCTCTCTGACAACTTCATGAGGTTGCTGCATGAGGAGCCAGGGGAGTTTGATTCATTCCTCTAGTCAATATGACTTTCTATAGCCCCTGTTTGAAAGCACACTGGAAAGAATATCACTCTCTTCCATACTCAATATGTCACCATTGATAATGAAGAGTAGAGCACTCTACTAGTAGTAGGGAGACCTACGATGTAGCCCTGACTCCATCTCAAAAGGGCTCTGTGGCTTTGGGTCAGTTGCCTCTCCTCTCTGTGCTTCAGTCTTCTAGTTTTAAGATGAGGAAAATGGATAAGAGTTGTCTGGAAATCTTTCATTTCTATAATTGTATGAGGTACACAAATCTATAGTTTTCTGACTTAAGACATAGGTTCAAGAAAAAGAAAACCTGTTAGAAATGGTTAAAGTCGTGGGAGAGATTAACTGTCTATCTTGCGTCTGAAAAGAAGTGATATTGACCTGATTTTCACATGTTCTCTTAAGAGCTAAAATCAAAGTAGATCAGATCAAATTCCTTTCCCTGTGACCAAGGAAGAATTTCCACACAAGCCTCATCATTAGTACCTAAGATGGTCATTTATAAATATTTCCCTAGTCCTGACAATTGATGTGTGCAGCACACATTTTTTGTGTTGACTGTCCTGACTAATGACTCATGTATGGGTTGGGATTTAGTGTATAGTCTGTGGTCATGGACCATGTTTGCACTCATTGAGGTCACCAACCATACATAGTCCCAATTACCTTTGGTAAGTGTTATTTTTCTATAATGAATTCCTTCCTATATTTGAATCAACAAATAAACTTATCTGAATCAACAGATAAGTTTAGATCATCCATCTTCTAAATATGACCAATCATGAAATGGGTTACCTTGGGAGGCAGAGGGTTCCCACTCTCAGAAATATCTAAGAAGGAGATCAATAGACACTTATTCAGGGTGTTGTGTCAGAGGTTCAGATATGGAGTTATCTCTAAAGTCCTTCTGAAGCCAACACTTTTATGATTTTTTGGTTCTATCTATTTTTACCAAAACAACTCCGAAAATGTGGGTGATGGGTTTTATCTTTATATTTTAAAAAATGAGTTGTTCACCTTTGTTAAAGAAGAGAAAGGAGTCAACTCTGCACATGGACTAATTGACTCTATTAATACTAAAGATAACCAATATTCCAGGATTCTAATCCATTGGGTTCTGGTTAATGCATTTTAGTGAAATATGAATGGCAACATTCTATAAAAAATAGTTCAGTAGAGATAATTGACATGCCCAGACCTGGGCTTGGCAAACTGGAGAGGGCAAGATGAAGTTCCCGTATTTGCCGTTGGTACCTGAAAATTCCCTACCTGCCTCCTCTTTGGATTCTCTGAGAGTCCCTGGACTTGGCTTGTTTAAGACCTGTTCTGTGCCTATGGCTCAAAAGATTGCTCTTCCCTCTTGGCATGCTGCCTGCTCCGACTCAGAAGTTAAAAGTTTGCACTTCCTTAAAATGTAGTATTTCCCAACCAAACCTGCATCAATCAACCGAATACTATAATTACGTATGCACAGCTCAAAGCTCAACACTGGTTAATGATCGTTGGCTTTGTCCTACACTAGTCTTATCATTCCTGATCCATCTGAGAATTGACCACTTGAAAGGAGGTGCACAGGAAGATCTAAAACGCAACAGGGAGAACACCGTGTCAAATTGCTATAGCTGTATGGGAGACAGCGTTTGCAGCATCTGTCCAGATCTGGTAAGGAGGTTGAGTCTTGGTTTAACTATGGGGTGTGGAGAGTGACTCGGGAGTTAAAAAATGGCATAGCAAAGTAACTACTGAAGTGGATTCTTGCCCTAACTCTCTTCTTGGGCTCTTTCGAAGGCCCTATGCCCCATCCCTGCATTTCAGTTTTCTGATTCCCACTACTCACCTTGGCATTGTCTTGATTTGCTGGCGGGATTAAGGAGTACGGCTGTCCAACGCTGGCAAGCATGACAGCTTGATCTGTGGATCAGGAAGGGCTCAGAAACTTTACAGGACTCACCCTGGCTTCAGGTGGAACCCAAGAATGGGGAGAGAGGCCCATCCCTAGAAGGACTGTACCTGAAAGGCCAGGTCCATGCTTGTTAGTGTAAGGTGAGGTGTCAAGGCCTGTCTCGCTCTAGTGTCTCTTTTAGAAACCACAAATGGGTGGTAACACCACTAGTTGGAGAGCAGGGCTCATGTTTCTGCTCCTGTCTGCTCCTGACTGGGGCTGCTGTGACCTTCTCTGAATAAAACTATTTGGCTCTAAACTAAAATGTAAGCCTCATTAACCATCCTCCATCCAAATAATACAGTTTTAACTCTCCCTTTCTGCCTTTTCTCCTCTTCTTTCCCCTCTGTCTTCCTTTTTCATTGTTTGGGTTAGAGTGCATGTTCAAGCAGGAGATTTAATGGTTTTTAAATGTGTTGGTGAAAAAAGGGAAGTGATACTGGCCATTGGGTAAATGGCGACATTAAAGAGAAGCTCGTGTTCTGTTCGCTACAGTGTGGCTGGGATTTTTTACTCCAAGAAGAGGATTAAACAACAGAGCTTTCCAGGAAAATATTGACTTTTACTTTTTACTCCTATTTTTCTTTCACAGTCCATTCAGAAATATTATAAGTATTTGATACCTGGAGACCAATTTCATTTTCTGGAGAGGACTAATGCTATTGAGGACTAATTCTAAAACTATAATTAATAAAAATAATAATATTTAAATGCTTTTTATACCCATGATGTTGATCCTCCAAACAACACAGCAGGGTCTAAGAGTTTAAGTATGAATATCATCCCAGTTTTCTCATGGACTACACCAGAGCCAGAAAGTGAAATGCTTTTCTCAGGATCAAATACCAGATAGACAGAAGGATCAAAACATTGTCACTTTTCTGATTTTCGGCTTAGTCTACGTTTTTCAATACCTTGCTGCCTCTTCCCACACAATAATCTCTTAAGATTATCTTTAGACTTTAGAGTTAGGTTCATGGAGTAACTAAGGGGACTTAAAAAAAAAAGGAGCTTTAGTATGATCATATTCTTATCCTTCTTTCTCTGTGCAGTGTCTGAGTATCAAAGGAAAGAATTATTTTAAAAATTATTTTTAAAATATTGAAATTGCTTTGAAAATTCACTAGTCCATTATTACTTGATTAATGCCAGCAAAAAGAAAAATGCTGATATTAAAGTCCCACTCATTTTAGTTTTTCTTGGTTCATTGCTTGTCTTAGCTGAGTGGCCAGCTATGTTCAAGTTTACTAGTAGGAAGTTTTTCTGGGAGCAATGATAGGTTATAAGGTTTCTGTTGAGATCCAGGGAGCAACTCTAGACAGATACCTATGTTTTATCAGTGGCAAGGACGAAATATAGAGCACATATTAAACTGGTCAGCACTACCCAAGAGCTTTGCTAGCTGAGTGATGACTGTTTGATCACTGCCTGTATCATAGCACTAGGGGAAAAATAAGTGATGATTATTAATCCGAAGTGGGATCTGCAAGTCCAGGTCTTGAAAAAAACTAACTCCAGTTTGTGTGCCTACCTGTGGGAAACATGTTCCAGTTCTTACTACATGAGGGTAAGATTAAAGGGCTCATTTCCCCCCTCTTTCTCCCTCTCTCATTTATTATCAGTTCATCAAATCAGCCATGGGAGGGACCTTAGAGAGTTCAGGTCTAGTGGTGAGTACAAAACCCCTGCTTCTCTCCAGGCTCTGTAGGGCCTGAGACAAGTCATTTGACTTTGTGGGTTTTGGTGTCCCTTTTTATCAAGTGGGGAGTTGGACTACATGACCTGCAAGACTTCCGGGTCTGATATTCTTTGATTCTACCTAGAATCTCAGATTCCAGTCAGAATGTGCTAAACTAAGAATGCCAAAAGATCGCCAGGCTTCTTGTCTCTGGCTTCCCTCTCTCTCACCAAGGTTGCCAGGATGACAGTGGGCAGGAGCAGCCCACCTTTCACCTAGTATATCCCCCACCCCAGCCACCCCTGTCCTTCCCCTCTGCCAATGACGGAGGCTCCTGCAAGCAAAACACACAAACGCCATAGGAAAGCCATTATGCAAAGGGCTCTCACCTTAGAGAGAAGAAAAGGGAGACACTGGAAGTGTGCGACCCAGTCAGTTGCTGAGATGGACACCCTGGTTGAGCGCCTTATCTTTGGCACCATCGGACTGGGTATTTCTTTCTTTCAACTCTCACCTGGATTAGATAGTATATTCTGTTCATGACTCTCAGAATCCGAGGATTACCTTGTTTTGCCGTATATGATGTACATTCAAGCTTTTGTCCAAACTTTCAGGAAAAAAATCTTGTGTTTTAATTTTTTAATTCAATTATTTACTTATTTATATTGAGAAACAAAACCGATTATCGTATTCCAGGGTATTATTTTGCATACAGATATCATTATGGCTTTCTAGAGTTACACATTATTTTAACATATCAACATAAATAAAAGAATTAAAAACATTTATATAGATACAGAACTAGTACTATCTATGTATAATGTTCATACTTATTTTTCCCTCAGAAATGTGGGCAAAAAAGTGCATATTATACATGGCAAAATATGGTAAATTTCCTAACTTAAAGCAAGTGATTATCTACGCTGTACTCCTGTTCTAACCACTTCTACCCAGTCTCTTCTCCATAATAAGCTTTAGAATTATAAATGCTTCCAATACATTATCTTAAGGGTTTTTAAGGGTTTTTTTTTGTTTGTTTGTTTGTTTGTTGTTGTTGTTTGGGCTTTTTTTTTTAGAGAAGAAAGGTATTAGGTAAGGTAAAAAATAAATGAACAATAAATATGAACAATTAAATAATTTCTGATTTGAATACCCATTTAATGTACAAAATTAGAAAGCAAGTAAATGAAAGTAAAAAATAAAACCTGCCATTATTTCAAAAATATTCACTGTGAGCATTTTGGTGAGTTTCCTTCCAGTGTGTATGCATCTATGCATATTTACGATTTGTCCTTCTTTTTTCATTAGGATTTCTAAGGGGTTTTTAGGACTCATCACTACACATTTTTCGTCTCTTACCAGCTGTGTACATCTAATTCCTATTATTCCACATCTCTTATGGTGGCTTTTTTCCTAGCTGAATCCTGACTGATACAGATAGCATGTTGTGGAAACTCCTATAAACATGTCAGGTCTGGATTTTGGTATTGGGTTTTCCATCTGGACACATTCCAGAAAAGACTTTGGAAGCATTGGACAGGATGTTCCCAAACAGCTCTATGGTTTTAAAAGTCATTGACTATTACATTTTAACACTTACTGAACATCTGCTATACATGTCAGACATTGTGCTAAGTGACATTACCTATATTTTATTACTTAATCTTAATTTCCGGGGGGCAAGTATATCATTGTTCCCATAATATAGATGAGGAAAACTAGGGCTTAGAGAAGTTACATGGCCTAAAATGGCATAACTAATAAGTGGTAAAGCCATGATTCAAACCTGGGCAATTCGGCTTCAGAGTCCATACCCCCGACTCAAAGTTGTCACCTGCTGACACACCAAGCTGGAGAGGCCTCACTTATTGGCAGGAGGGCAGATCTTCGGGCCATTGTTTGTGCTGTGGAAATAAGTAACCCTGTGAGATGAGTCCTGCTGAAAAGGACAGCAGGGGTGCTGGCACGCGCACTGGACTCAGAGTCGAACAGTCATGGGCTCCTGTCCTTTTGTTCCTGCATGCTAGCTACATGACCCCGGACCTGTCACTCTCCTGTCTGAGCAATTATGTTCTCATCTATAAAAAGGGAATGGTAGTCTCTATCTTAGAGGCTGTGGTGAGGATTAAGCATAACATGTAAACATACCTTGCATGTTTCCAGGCAATATAGTAAATGATAATAGAGTTGAATCTGAACCTGAGTAGAAAGTTTCAAGTTGAAACCTGGTTTTGAGTCTTGAATTGAACACTTGTCATGTGATTTTAAACAAGATATTGGAGCCTTCCTAGACCTAAGTTCCTCATCTTTCTAGGATGTGGTTGGACTAGTTGTTCTCTACAAACCTGTCTTGGATTCTGGGTCTTCAACTGGTCTTAAGTGGAAGGAATGTGCCAGATGGTAACTTTTCTCAAATCAATCTGAAATGAGGCCAAAATTCACACAATATAGCAGGTTTTTCCTTGGCCCCTCTGTCCTATGGAGGTTCTTGACTAGATGCAAATACTAGAGGCTTCTCAAATGTCTGAGGTGTGATGAAAATCACAGATATTTCTTAGGAGAAAGGGGTGAGGCCTTTGACTGACAGGATGCTGTTGCTTTTATTAGCTCTTCTAGGAAAGAAGAGATCACAGCTTCAGAGGTTTCCCAATGATGAAAGAAAATAACTCCTTAACTTGCTCCAAAGAATCCAGTTGGGAAATCTCAAAACCAGACAATTTCTTGGGTCCCTTATACTTGCTCACTTTGTAATTCAGCTGGAAGACAACCAGTTGAGTTTTAACTGGAAACTTCCTAATGCTAAGATGCTGAGCCCTGAGGGAAGTGGAGAAGGGGCTTGATTCTCACTCTAAAGATGCCTCTAGTCTGCCTCCATTAAGGAAACAAACCCAGAATTGAAGGGGATAGACAAGTTGTGTTGGGATTTCACAGAATGAATAATCAAAGTTTTCACCTATGTCCCCAGGGACTCCTCATTCAAGTGGCTAGGGCCTCCTTATCTCCAAAGCTCAAACTGGGAGAGGCCCAAGGCTTTGTCATTGGACCCTGTCTCATTCTATGCTCACTTCCCTGCAGATTTTATTCAGTTTCACAGTTTAAATCAGATCTTAACATTGACAACTCTTAAATTTCTATCTTCCGCTTGGATTTCTTTTTGGAATGCCAGACCTCAACATCTAGCTGCCTGCTTAGCCATCACCATTTGACTGCCTATTGTCTTCTCTAACTGAACAACACAACTACATTAGAGTTCCCAGTGTGCTTTCAACTCCTTCAAATCTGCTCCACCTGCAGCCTTTCCTTTTTGATAAATAACAGTTCCATTTCTTGCTGTTGCTCAGGCCTAAGGACTTAGAGCCATGTTTGACTACTGTTTCTCCATAACCCCCATCTAAGCTACAAGGCACTGCCTTAAAAATATATACAGAATTCAAACACTCCTCACCATGTCTGAGTCCAAGCTTATGACCATCTCTTTCCAGAATTATTATATTAGCTTCCTAAATAGTCTCTATGTTCCCAGTTTGGTCATCTCAACAGAGAAGTCAGAGGGATTCTATGAAAATAGATTTTTAGATCCTGCCCAATCCTTCAATGGCTTTCCGTCTCATCCAGAGTAATAGAAAGTTCTTCCATTGACCAGTGCGGTGTATACAATGCACTCCCCTCTTTCCTCTGTTCTCTCCCACCTCTCTTCCCTCCTTCACTCTACACTAACCATACCAGCCCCTTGGCTGTTCCTGAAACAGGCCAGGCACACTGTGGCCCAGGGTCTTGGTGCTTATCGTTCCCTCTGGTTCTCTGGCCCAAGAAATCCATATGTTTCTCTCCCTCACCTCTCCTCAGTCCATAATGTAACTTGCTCAGTGATGCCTTCCCTAGCATCCTATGCCCCTCACAGATGCCCTATCCCTCTTCCCTACTTTTTTCCCTTCTTAACATTTATTACCATAAAAACTACTGTACACGTTTACTTTCCAGTATATTGTCCGCATCTCCTTCCTTGAAGGGAACTCCAAAGGGCAGTAAAACACAGTGCCTGGCATTCAGTAAATGTTAGTTGAAGAAATTTGGTGGAGAGGTGGACAGGAGGCCATTGAAGCTATGCTCTGAACCAGAGGATCTGAGTGACCAGAGGCAGAGAAAACAGTGGTCGGAAGAGAGAGCCACTGGGCCAAGGCCGAGGGGGGCCCAGTGAGGATGGAGAGGACCAGCGTAACTGACTCATTCTCCATCAGCTTTTACCTTCCTGTTTTATATCTTCCACAACATCTATTGTTTGTCTTTTAGTATGTAGCAAAAATCCCATGGCTGCTTGGATCATAGAAAGCTCATAGATAGAGTTCAGAGTCAAACACCTGAATCTAGCAGTGTGTCCCTGAGCTTAGCCACTTAACCTCTCTAACCCTCTGCTTGCTCATCTGTCAGAGAAAGCTAACAACACTGGCTTGTGTGCCCATGGGATGTGGTGAAGATCAAGTGAGTAATGGATGGGGAAAGTGCCTCACATTCTGAAAGCCGGACGATTGTAATGGGGATTAGTGAAGTGCACGAGAGTGTCGCTGCAATAATTACTCAGGCTCACATATAGGTTATTTACCTCAATGGCAAGGAAAGGGGGAGAGAGCATTCCAAAGTGGTGACTAATTCAGGAATTCTTCATCTGGGCTTTTGAATACCGGAGGGATGCAGGAGGAGGGATTGGAAGATGTACTTCCTGAGGACATGGCTCTTGTCCAAACAAGGTGCTGTTTATTCCCCGTGCATCCTTAAATACATTTATTAGTTGGCTGTTATTACCCCTTTGTTTTAGAGATTAGAAAACTGAGGCTCAGAGAGATTAAGTAACTTGCCCAGAGTCACACAGGTATTTAGTATCACACCCCGGAGAAACCAGCTTTGTTGTAGGAGTCTGTGTTTTTTCCCATAGGCTACCTTTTCAATGACTTATGCAACTAATTCAGCCACTGACAGTGCTGCCTAAGTTGCCTGAATTTGGGCAAGTGAATAGTACACGAGCCTAACATCAGGGGCCGAGGCAGATAGCAGACTCTGAACTATGAAACTCTAGAAGTGAAAAGAGAGGTCTGTGTGCCACCCGTGAACCCCAGCCCTTTTCTAGACCACTGCCTTGTGCTGTAAATAGTTTGTCATGGAAGTACACAATAAAACTTTAGAAGAAACCAGGATTTTAAGCTAAATGCTTCATAATAGCATGAGAATAATAGAACTGGAAGCAATGCCCACTGGTCATTTTAATCATTAGAAACATTTTTTAAAAGCAGTAGTATAAGAAATGGCATGACTTTTTGGATGATTAGCAATCCCAGTCTAGTTTTTAATAGATGATACTTATGTAGGAGCTCACCACCTGTTGTCTGCCACACAATGGGGTTTAATCAATGTTCACAGAATATATGCAGGTATCTGTATGTGTATGCA